GGGGGGGGGGTGCAGCGGACCTCTTCGCACTACCCCTAGATCCGCCACTGCTTAACGCCCTAACGCTGTGAGCTAGCCATACGGCTTGATTTTGATCAGCCCAGGGTCGTTTTGAAATGAGAGCAAATCCATGCAACTGCATATTCCAGAGAAATAATGGAACTGAAATTATTGCCTCGTCTAAAAATCATTCCTTAGTAACATAAATGGAAATGAACATCCAACACTCTTGCTTTAATGCCCGTGACTGTAATATTTAATGTTTTTTTAAAAAAAAAATCAGGTGTAATGATTGTTTTTGTGAAGCACAGGTATAGTGTCAAGCTTGTCGCCACCTCACCGAGTGTCAGTTCGTGGATTCGATCCTCGGACTCGCAATCATATTTCAGTAGACTTTCTTCTAGGTTCTCTCCTGTCCTTCGAGGCTTTTTCCCGGTCCGGCGATTTCGCAGCGCAAAAACCATGAAATGAGGATTACAAGTTTGTTAGCTACTGACTGTTAGGTAACTCTCGTAAAACAAGGAAGATCGTTTTCGTTTGTTTGTTTGTTTGTTTGTTTGTTTGTTTGTTGCTTTTTGTAGCAAAAAGCTAGCATCACGCTTTTGAATTTTTTTCCAGCCACCCGATCCTTATGACAAATTATTTGTCTACCATTACAATCACCGCCACAGTCATTGCAGAATTGAATATGATGGTGGTGATGATGATGATGATGTAACCGCATGGTAGTCAAAAATGCATATGGAATGGTTCAAGAATTGTTAACCCCATATGTACCTGACTAGAGAGCTACCTGCATTGATGGGTTGTGAGCATTTCCGAGAGAGGCACCGCAAGAGAGTTAAAAGACAAAACATTATCATGGCGGTCATTGTGGTGCCGTTAACAATGGATGCTAATAAAAAATCTTTTGTTAAATGACGGCAGCAACGCTCCCCCGAAAGGCAGTGATGACGTAACGTGCAATCGAAAAATAAAGCTTCAAAACTATCCTTGGGACAAAATTTTACACGAGAGGAAACACATACAATGAAACACATACGTAGGACTCGGGCGAGAACGAATTTCGACCTTACTACTCTCCCGCACAGGATTTTTGTAACGTGTACACGACCCACCACCAGCCACTCCACAGGGCTAGTTTTGTTCTTGAAAAATCCTTCCACAAAGTTCTCTATGGTAACGTAAAACTCTTAATATGGATAACCAAAAGATCGTTAAGTGAAAGAAGCATCGATTTTTGCTTACCAGCTTTCATGATGATGCAGTTTTGTTATGCCCTGAAAAAGTCCGGAAATCTCCAAAATTTCAAGTTAAATGAAAGACATCCATTGTAATTTTCACTAAACCTGATATCATGTTGAGTTATCTGTAGTTATCTTTCATTTTTCAAAGTAAAACCAACCAAAAATGAAAAAAAAATGCCGACCATAGAGAACTTTGTAGTTTATTTTCTGCGCGAAAATTTCACTCATAGAAATCTTGTAGGAAGAGCCAAAAGAGTCTTAAATAAATGAATCCCCCATCGTATGGATCATTTTGATCATGTTTTTTGTGAAGTTCGAGGTTTAAAAGACCATGAAATCGTGGTTTAAGGTGAGTTTTTTGTTCAAATATGGCGACTGAAGTTTCCTTCCTTGTCAGAGTATATATACATAAGATCGACATCAGATACCATAGGGAAATTATATATGAAAACAAAGGCGCGCGCGAAAAAAAATATGTCCATGTGCATTTTTCACTGATTTTTTTACTCTTTCGCATTACGGAGGACATTATCTTGATCTCGAATTCAAAAAATTACTAATTATTTAATTTTTCCGATTTTATTTTCACCACTCACTTTAATCTAAATTGGGCTCCCTGTGGATAAGAGATTGAAGTGAAAGTTGAAAATAAGACTAGAAACGAAAATCGCCTTGAGATTATATATATTATTTTTATTTTCATTTCGAGGCTTCTTGTGCTAAAAACGCTTTTTAACCGGTACCCCTCCCCCCCCCCTTCCCCCTCCTCCCCCAATAAAACAAAAAACAAAACATCATTGCTAGTGGGCTACCTGAGTTTTTAAGCTCAACCACTCCTCCCCTGTTAGTTTATTGGAACACTTGATCGAGGCCGGGCGAAGTATAAATTCATTTTGCGCAAGCGTTCGGCGCAGTGTTCTCGTGGCAGTCAGTAGAGTCAGTTGGTGAATAGAACTTAGACAATTTTATTCCAAAATTATTCATACGATCGCGAAAGAGGAACCTTTCTGCTTTACTGATTTCCCCACAGACAAGATAAATCGACTGTAGATTTATCTTTAAAAATGTCTGCCAAAGCGATCTATGAATCTGACGGTAAAACACTGTTATCAAAATATCTGGACACCAGCACGTCCTACGTGCAAAATCGGTTTATAACTATTAATAAAGAATCGAATTGGGATGAACTGATAGAGAAAAATCCCTGGTTGAAGCAAGAGGTAAGAGATTAAGGATATTTGGGGGATATTATCTTAATAGTTTTATTTCTAGTAGGACTTTATGGTATTTGTTATAGTGTTAAGATTACGAGATTTGTGACATTTGTAGTCATCAGCTGATGTGGTGGTCTGTCGGTGACGTACACACAGTAAGATCAAACTCCACATAGACGATAAACTTATAACAAAAAATTGCCAATATAGAATGAACAACTGCAGATTTATGCCTATACATTTACATTCACAGGTCTTTTTTAGTAGCTTACATAAGCTTTTTTTTTGTACAGCTCTGCAAAGTGACCTTTCGTGTCCATTGTTTTGGACAGTATTTTGCAATCCTATTGTTTAGACCAGTTAGCTGTCAAAACGGATTTTTAGAGTTCAATGTCTGGAATTCAAGTGCTATTGTGGCGTGATATTGAGTGGCCAGGAATATATGACTTTCTGGTTAAGTTAAATTTGTAATGTTGTGTTTAATTATATTTTTTGTTAAATATCTAAGTAAAGTTGTTCATTAAATTTATTAACATGTGTTTATAGTACATGTACTACAATAGAACTTTAGTTCTTGACTGAAACAATGATAGAAGGAGAAAAACAACTCAAAAATAACTTTCCAACTAGTTTGTTAATAAACTAGACCTCCTGCTCTGACAAAAAATGTATATTTGTAGCCTACTCAAAGATTGTCAAGGTTTTAGGCTAACTTTAATTAGTCTGCAATGAAACTTGTCGACAGACTGGCATTTTTTCATACAGTACACAATTTGTGTAGTTTTATCAAGTCCCTCATTTAACTAATATTATTCTTCAACCCTAAAACATAATAAAAATACCCCCAAAAAGAAATACCTTTATTGATATTTTTTCAATAAACGTTGTCTGTTTTTTTAATTCTCTTACTTGTGATTAGAAATTAGCTGTGAAGCCAGATCAGTTGATCAAAAGACGTGGAAAACTTGGCTTGATTAAAGTGAACGTTGGGATTGACGAAGCAAGAAAATGGTTAGAAGAAAAAATGGGTAAAACAATTGAGGTAGGAAATGTTGTATATGCAGATTTATTACACATTTAGCTACTGTAGTAGGGTTGATATCATTGTGATGAATTAAACCTGTGAAGAAAAAAACCATATCATTGAACCTACATAGCTTGGATATCACTTCACTGTTAGCTGGAATGTGTAGTTCCAAAAATTATCCATACCCCTTCACAGAGGAATTTTTTAAGACACCCCCCTACCCCCCAGAAATTCCAATTTTCTTCCATACAAACTCTGTAATTTTTTGTTCTTTTTCTGACCCCCTTACTCTTCAGAAATTCCAAATTCCTCTGTCGGGTGGGTATAGATGATTTCTGGAAATATGCAATCTGTAAATTGTGTTGTTGTATCAACCCTAAATGTGTAAAAAAATAATAATCCAGAGTCTGATAATTATTTTAGTATGGTTTAGACTTGAATATAAGAGAAAAGTTGAAATTCAGGATAAAAAAGTTTTATTATTTTAGTATTAATATTACTTCCACTTTGGCAAACTTTAGAAAACCTCATAATCACCACTTGAGTAGTGATTATCATATCAGAATTATGGTTGTTGGAGAAATCAAAGCATGCAAAACTCGTTATTCAATGTTTTTTTCACTTGTTTTACATAATATGATCATATACATGCACATGTATCACTCAAAGACTTGCTTGTTTGCCATAATTATAATATGAAAATTCATAGCTATGATATCAAGCACTAACATGATAGTCTCTTTACCATATATGAGTCATGAGTCTTATCATGATCAATGTACTGTATCTAGTTAATGGATTTGGTTTTCTTGTGACCTTTTCAGGTTGGTTCTTCTAGTGGTCCACTAAAACGCTTCATAATAGAACCTTTTGTAGCTCATCAACAGGTTAGTCAGAGCTTAATCAGACAATCATGCAGTCATATCCTGATTATAGGTAATCATAAAAAGCTGTCACTGTTGCCTAGTGACTGGGCCATTGGATGAAATATCTGTCACTGTAGCTAAGCCTTCAGCTTTAATGATAGATGTATACCCATCTCAAAGAATAATGTCCAATCCAAATGAAAGGAGATAATGAATACTCCATGTTATAGTTCCAGGCCGAGGCTGGAGTTGACGCACATTATATAAAGTATTGTTTTGCTATATGTGTAAGGCCCTGGCTAAACGAGGAAACTTGTTTCCAGAAACCTAGCTGTTTCCCTACATCCCCTTTTTTTTCCTACATGATATATGTATCCCTAAGACATACAAGGAGTAATTAAGTACATCAAGGACTAAAATCTATTACTGAATCATTTAAGCAGTAATTAATCTAAGAGACTTTTGCTGTTGTTATTTCTACAGAATGAGGAGTACTATGTGTGTATTCATGCCCAGCGAAACTGTGACACCATCTTGTTTCATCATGAAGGAGGTGTAGACATTGGTGATGTTGAATCCAAGGTAAGGATAATCATTTTCCTGGGATTTTAAAGTCATGAGAGACAAGTCAAAGGGTACAAAAATTAATTGCAGTGACCCTCTTGAACAACACTTCTTTTGTAAGTGTGACTTGAATATTGGCCTCTTGCTTATAAGCTACTGTAATATAGTCTTTTAGCTCGGGCATAATGTTTTTGCTTATGGCATGTCATTTCCTAGAGTAACATTTCTTTGTTAAGATGCATGATCTAATGATACATGGTCAAAAATTGATAAACTAACTACAAAACATTACACCCATACTATACTGTAAGCAAAAAAGCTCTATTTTTGTTGCTATTGCATCAAGAGTAAGCCGGTTTTTTTACCTTCTCAGATATTGTTCTCACTGAAACTGTACTTTTCTTCACATTCATTTTTGTCGAATGATTAATAGGCCCTGAAATTAGATGTTGCACTTGATGAAAAAGTAACTGCTATATGGATTGAGAAGACACTAATGGTTGATGTTCCAGAAGAAAAGAAAAAGTGAGTTTTAGTTTTAGTTTTAGTTTT